TCAAAACTTAATGCGTTTATTAGTGTGTACACTGCTTGTTATTAAATTCTGATATTATATTATCCATATAATATAATACGGCTATGATAAAACAAAAATATTTTTATAACGCCTACTTGACCTAATTTGTTATGATGGCTTTGTATATATAGGTATAATAAAATATATAAATCGCTTCGTGTCGTTGAGATACACGAGGCGATAAATTTAAAAAAAAAACTAACCTTGTTTAACATATGTAGACGACCGGTCGACGTGTGCTTAATATAATATTATCAATATAATGAATGATGATAATAATTTACTAATGGAAACTCAGCAAAGGTGTAACCGCCGCTTGTTTGATGACTGTGCAATTTTGTCTAAGAAAATTTCCTTACAGTTTCCCAACAATGTTTGTATTTTATTTTATTATGTAGTACATCTTTTAATTATGAGTAAAATTGATTATTTTGTCGATTACTTTACTTCGAAAAATATAATTTACCCCATTCGCTTACAACTACCCCAGGGGACCTAACCCCATTGAACAACAGTGACTTTAACGCCACCGAGGCTTGCTCGTTATATGGTAATAAATATAACGCGGTGACTTAAGTGCATTTACTTGTCACACTCGTGCCAGGTGAGAGTTTTCAAAAAAAAAATAAACCAACTTGGAGGAGGGTAGGGGTCTCAGCAACCCTCGTGTGTTAAAATAGTATTGACGCTTGCGAAGAGAACGACCGTTAAACTGCCGTCGATGTTGTTTTTGTCACAAACTGCTTACATCGCACCGGAGAAAGTACAATTTTTTCACTTAAACAGGTAGGTGTACAACTGGGCTAATTACGGTTACAAGTAAAAGCCGGGTTCGCATATTGTAGCGTTTATGCGATTTACATGATAATACAATTATTATTAATATGCATATTTTTTTATTCAGCGACTTTGCCTCATGCTATTTCAAGCGAATCACGAACTAAACCCGACGACCCGTTATTATTACACTTTGTTCACACACAAAACACAAGAACAATAATTCACAGGTGGGCCGCTCTCGCGGTATCGATAAATTAACAAGGTAAAATTAATAAAAACTAGATTTAAAAAAATCAAACCGAGCCGTACATAATCGATTTTAGCCTAAAGTTCAAATCGAGCACACTGTATTATGTATATAGTGCTTTAGCGCTGTACGATCGGGTGTAAAGTATAGTTGCGTTGCCGCGATTGCATTTCCCATGTTTTTTTTAAAAATATTTTTCATTCTCTAAACACAATCTAATGTGACACAATGGCACAAACTGCAGTGATGATTTTGTTCATGTGCACAATGAAAAACTTATGCACCAACCGGTCGGTGGTCGGTGACCTATAAAAATGATATCATATAAGCGCGCACGCTGGTATTTAAGACATGTAAACGTGATTTATGTGCGAGATCTAGATCGTCGTCGGCGAGATAAGTTCGTGTATATTATTATGTTATATTGATCGATACTCGCTGTAGTCGCATATTATGTACACTTATATCACATACATAGTTGTTGTTCAGTTCAGGTATTAAGTCACAAAATATCACTCGTTTTCGGTCGTTAACAATTTACACACACCTTTCTTTTTTTGTTTTGTAAACATTTTACAAGATAAATAAACATGTATGTACGACCGTTTTTTTACATTTTTCTTAAAAATATGTTTTGTTTAAAAAAAAAATTATTTGATTTTCTATGGTTAAATAAATAATACATGGCAAAATCTCGGTTGGCTTTCGGGCGATTACAAAACAATAATGTCCGACTCTGAACAGATACTATTGACTTATGTATAATGCACTTCTGTCACATTATTTTTTTTTTAATTAGACATATTCGTTTGCGGTTTGTCGTTTGCTCCACATTCGACATCCTTGGGAAGACAAAAGCATAGCTCCGCACACAGATAATTGTAATTAAAAACAATAACACAATTACCGACGACGGGATTATTGAAATACCTATCGGATCGTGATCCATATAATATTAATATTGATGATAATAATATATATTATATATGTTACTGGTATGGTACGGTTCGTCCTCGATCCGGAGGTCGATCGCAAAACCGTAACGGACGGTGATTTATTTTCGTGTCAGGTTCAAAGAAAACAAAAATTTACAAAGAAAAATCCTATAAAAGCGCAGAAAAAAATAAAAATGTCAAAAATGAGCAACACTGCACTTTTATTTGTAATGCTTAACACTTGCGGCCAGTTTCTGAATGAAGCATACAACATTATTGTCAAATGTACTCACTTGTGAGTCACGTGGGTGATAGGAAGGAGATAACTCAGAAGAAAAGAAAAAAAAGGTTCAGATCCTCTTCCAAAAAAGTCAGCCAATCAAAGTAGTAGTATCTACATTGTGGCTAAGTCTGTTTTGTGCCTCATTCAGAAACTGGCCAAGTGTTGAGCAATACAAACAAAAGAGCAGTGTTGCTCATGAAAGTAGGAGTGAAGTGAGGTTATGAACTAAAGAATTAGCCGACTTGGCCACAATGTTGATATCACTACTTTGAAAGGCCGACTTTTTTGGGAGGGGGTCTACTTGGCCCTTTTTCACTGTTAAATACCTTTCTCTATATTTTCCAGAGCTCTATCAACTTTTCTAAACTCTAACAATAACGTATGTATTTATTTGACTTTTTTTTACATTAAGAATAATATTTACTAACAGATTTTACAGGTTTTTTATGAATATTTGTTAATTTATTGAAGTTTAAAGCTGTAAATCTGGAGCAAGGGTGGAGCAAGAATTTTGTCCTTAATGAATCACCCTGTATTTTATTATAGTATAATATTATATTATTTATTATCACACCAAACAGCACACCGTACACTATACGTATACTTACATATGGAGGAGATCGCAAAGATTGTGTATGTGTGTGTGTATTTCGCCTTTCACCGACTTGCCACGTCATTGTGTGACAATGAACCGGCGACGGCTGCTGCAGTTGTAGCCGGTCTCCACGGGTAAAGGGGGCACACACATACACTATATGACTTAAATGCGAGCCTCCGGCCGTTTACCAGCTGCCATATATATATATTATAATATACATAGTTCTTACTACTATGTGTACCTCAAAGTCTCACAATCATAGCTGTTGTAATATATTATATACAGCCGGCTAAAATAATAGCGCACGAGACCGAGTAAATTTCGTTTTGAAATAATAATAATAATAATGATACAAATATATGTGCTTTTTTTTTTTTAATTAATGCTTCACCGGTATCCCATGCCGATACATATACATATAGTAGCTGTCGATCGGTGATCGATGATCGTTATGATATTTACCAGCAACGCCAACATCCACGGGTGGGTGTAACCTCAGTACGATAATTAGATTGGCCCGGTTACGTCCAATGACCTAATCGAAAATATTGAAGATAATAATATAATATCAAAAAAAAAGTACTTTGAACACTAGCGACATCCCTATAACAATATAATCCGTCTTAATAAAATTGTCTTAGTTAATTTTTGACCGAGCTAATAATTTTGGCAAGGTTAAAATATTTTGTTTAAACTAGTTTAAGTTTGATGCACTCGAAAAAATTCCGTTTACAAAAATATGTTGTTTGAAATGTGACTTATGACTTGTTAATTCCCAGCCTTGAATTCCTTACAGTACCCAATTGTGTGCAGACCTGTGATGCCCATTTGATAACGTTATAGTTGTCACATTAGTCTTAATTAATTGCCCAAACGTCAAATAGATTTTTTGAAAAATACATTAAAAATATATTAGATTATAATACTAATTATGTTAAAGAACAACAGCTAATTGAATAAATCGTTAATACAAGTGTACATATGTATATTTTTTAAATAATTGTAAATTGAACTAAACAATTATTTTAATTAAAATAAAAAACATTTCATTTTGTTGACTGAAAAATATAATAATGCGCGATGAATCATCAATTTTTCCTTTACAAGTAAAACGTGTAATCAATTTTCCATTAACCAGTTATTCGACCTTACTCCCTTTTTTTTTAACATTGGAGAGTTACCTATTTTATTTACCATGTTTTTCTCCTCTGAATCTCGTTGTTGTGTAAATCTACAATAAGCGAATCGCCGTTAACCCGTTAATAACGACTTAAATATTATCTTGGTAAACAGAAATATAAGAAGCACAGTCGGAGGTAAAAATATATAGTATACCTAATCAACCAACAGAGTAGAAAAACTAATTCAAATAGAAAAATAATTGAAATAGCTATGAACTTCAATAATTATATTGTACAAGGTTCAATAATATTTTTATGTATTTTGTTTTTACTCTGTTCAATTATGCATTTTCATATTAAATATATATTTTTCTTTATTAATAATACCTTAACTGATCTAGAAAAACCCATTAGCAAAACTTGTGTGGAATACTTTTATAGTAAGTAGTCAAATAGCAAAAAAAAACAAATAAGTAATACAATTTAATTCTTAATTTAAAAACCTGAGTTAATTTTGAGTTGAAACTAATTTTCGTTGTTTTCTTTTGTGCAAATATTTTTTGAAAATTCATTTTAACAAAAGCAAACACTACAAATCGTAATTAGCTCGGACAATTTTATTGTTCGTCGGAAGAGTCCATTCAAATGAATTCATTCGCCGGAACCGATTGAAAGTCTGTAACGAAAATGGAAAAGTAAACAAAAATACTGTTCGTTAGAAACTAATTATACGGTGCAAGGACCTTTTGAAAAAAAAACAATAATTGTTAATAGTGAAAAATAAAAAAAATAAACAGCTGCAAAATTTTAAAACATAAATATACGATTTCAGTAAATAAGTCTTGGCAAAAAAAAAATTAAAGACTTTTGACACTTAAGAATATTATAATTGTTGTGCTATTGGTCAAAGGCTGATTTGGTTATAAGTACCTACCTTTGGTGGTCAATTTTTATAAAAAATATTGTATATTTTTTTCTTTTGACTACTTATTTTCCAATTTGTTTGGTTTTGCAGTTTTTAAGTGAATTTGGTCGGTTTGCTGACGTTGTGCAATGTACAGCGTTGTGGCCCACCAAAACTATGGCCGCGAGCGGCGCGACAACCGGCAGCAGGCCCAGCAACACCAGCACGGGCACTCACCGCAGCAACATCACCATCACCAGCAAAGCGGGTCTTCCGGCGGGGGCGCTGGGGGCGGCGGCGCGCCCAGCTCGTCCAGGCAACAGCCGGCGCAGCACCCGGACGGGCGGCGGCGGTCGACCAGACACCGGAACATGTCCATCACGGTTAGGTTTCTCAACTACCTGAGACGCAGATTCAACCCGGACCAAGGTGAGAATCACCCTGTATACCAGATAATAATAATCGTAGAATGCAATTTACAATTTTTTGTTTTAAAGAATAATAAAAGAAACATGTAAAAACACTGTAATTCAATTTAAAAATTGGTCACAGTTCACAACAACAATTTAAAAGACACAATAAGTTTACAGTTGAAATAACTTATCAAACAACTGTTGCTTTAACAACCGGAACTTGGAATTTACGCCGGTTGTGAATTTCCCACAGAAAAACACCACTTAGATAAAATAACGCTTAAAGCGAAGTTGGACGCTTCAAAAATGTATTTTACAACAATTTTATCCTTAAATATATGCGTTCGGGTAATAATAATATATTACGGACAAAATATAAAACTGAAGGTACCTATAAAAAAAAAAAAATACAGAAAGCCACTGCCAACGTCATAACGATCACAGTCCAGTGCGAAACGCATGTGGAAATATAGCTGTTATGCTCTTTTTTCAATATATTAAATTGCTTGTACGTATCGAATACAAAAATATTATACACTCTCAGGAAGGTAATGTATGTAATATATAATGGATTTTTTTTTACTGGTTTCATATCTTGTAATATAGGTACTAATAAATAAACTATAAACTAATAAATAAACTGTAATATACCTACTGATAAAAAAAAAGTAATTTGATTAAATGTTTGTTTTTCTTTTAAACGGACGAACAAAATAGTTAGACAAGAAATTAAACAAAACGGCAATACTGTCGAATGGTAAAACCTTTCAAGTCAAACCGTACAGGATTTTTGTACTAAAAAAAAAAAGTATTAGTCTGCCTGTACATTAACTAAGTACAATCTTGTGGAACGTTGCGGTTAGATCTAAACGGAATATTGGACCCTGATACGCGGTTGAAATCATTCGGTTGTAAATTGACTACACGGTTTTGTTGAATTTAACAAATTTTAAATAATTAATATAGTTACCGTCGCTATTAAATAATAATAATTAAATAATGATACTGATTTTGCAAAAATAGGTGTATTTCATACAAATTTTCCACAAACAAAAATTATAATGTGTAGTTATTTTTTTAAGTATTATACATACATTTTAGCTACTTTTTATTTTACAAGACGTACAAAAATATCGTTTATATACAGTAACATTTTAACGTCGTGTACGGTTTGATCGGTTTGAAGTACTATTCCATGTGATTCGAGTATATTCCCTTAGCCGTGTACACAATAATATATTATGGTGCTCTATAACCCAGTATATATAATATGCTTATGGTACCCTGGTATCGATGCACTATATAAACACACGCAGTGTACTAAGGTGTTCGGTGGACCGTCAAGGTCGTGGTTTTTTAGTTCACACCGTTTTTAATATTACATTTCGACCAAATCGGCCGTAGTAAAATAATAAAAATATATTTTTGGAATCTTAATATTATTTTAACCCGTCAAACCAATAATTCGAGGAAGTCACATAAGCAAACAGTATCCGCCATCTAGCGGTCGTTCGCCGGATACCATATATGTATATTTTGTTCATAACACCTCTTAACCCCGTTTAGTATCATAATAAGATGTTTTGTTTGTTTCAGGTAAGAAAAGCGTACGGCAACCGAAATACATAATGTACAAAGTACACAAGACTAGGTAACTGTGGTAAATATGATGAGATTATGATTATTTTTTTTCTCTGGCTTCCCACGACAGTGTAAGAATGATGATAATAATAATATTGTAATAATAATTATTAAGGACACCGTGTGAGCAGCAGCTATACATACACAATATTAGTATCAATATAGATGTATTATAATAATATATTTCAAACGTGACAAGCGTAGGAAGCGACCCATAATAGCGCTATTACTACACCACAATAAGACAGCCGTTGTGATTGTTTTGCGCAACACCGTGTGCGGTCCACCGTAGTAAGTAACGTTTGGTAAAAAAAAAAACCGATGGTAATCTACAAAAGACATTAAGTCTTAAGACACGAGTGATCACTCATTGCATTGACGTGTAATCGATACCTATCGATTCACATATTATGTATATGAATATTGTTTGCTGTAAATTCGAAACGAATAAAAAAACAGTCGCCTTCTATGCGTTTCACAGAAAAAAAAAACATAATTGGGTACTGTATTATACATTTTTTTTATAATATAAAACAACAAAGGTCCGGAAGTAGAGTATAGGTCCGGAAGTAGATGGAGGATTTGTTAACAGAGAACGAATGCAGCTATTAAAACGTCTTTAATAAAGGCGTATTGTCTCGAAGACACTTGCCGAACGTTATAATATTATATTTGCTATAATACTTACACTTTTATTTATTCGAAAAATGCCTTCCCGTTTGAGTGAAACACAATCAAAAATAAAATAATGTGAAAATGTTGCTCGAATATTTTTTTAGTTATAACTTTTTTACAAACAATTTTGGAAGTATAAAAATGTTTAAATACAGTCAATTGCAAATTTACCGGTTTGGTATTTTAATAAAATATATAATGTGTAGCAAATAATTAAAGTGAACAAATAATATTATATTGCTCAACATTAGCGCACATTAATAATTAATAATTAATAGATGAATGTAATGATTATAATACAATTCATTTGAAGTGTTCTGAAAAAAAATCATACGCTAACGTAATACGTTTATTTAAGACATAATAAAAAACATTAATTCCAAGATTGATGTTGGTGGACCAAGATTTGCCGCCGACGCGACACGACGCGGCCCGTCAGTGCGGCTCGACCACTGCAACGGCGGCGGCCGCGCAGTTGCCGCGACTCACGCTAGATGGCGGTGTCCGCACGGCCGAGTACACGTGTACTCGCTCGTCTTCTCGCGTCGGCCGTTGGCCGGAACTTTGACGTGCCTGCTTTGTCGCCGGCCAGCGAACGTTGTTCCGGGAGGACGCGAGACGTTGCGGGACGACCGCCGGACGGACAAGCGTCGCGGCACGGCCTCACTACCGGCGTACCACCAAAACGGTCGCTGCCCCGGGACGGCGGGACGCGCGCCCCTGATAAAGAACCTCAGAACAGTGTACGGATCGTGCCTTAAACTAATGAGTAAGGAAAATTTACGAGCCTTGGTGACGCTTGGCTTTTGCAGTCCATGAACTGTTACCCTATTTTTGGAGGGGTATAGGTCGTCCCCTTGAAGGACCTGCCTACTTTGCAGGTCTTTCGGGCGATAGCGATCTGCCCCAATATCGACTCGATCTAAAACCCACTACGCCGCCATATGGCGGCATGGCGGTGATCTTAATCTGACCACTAGTAATTATTCTTGGAATGGTAAAATCTATATACAAAACGGTGCATTGAAATCCCAATAATAATAATAATATTGTGTACTCTACTCACGGCTCTTCTATACAGCTATGGTTATGATAACAGCTGTCTGATTAGATAAATGGTCTAAAAAAAAAAAAAAATCATCTGACGTTATGTCGAAATAATATTACAGTTTATGCGATTTGTTATTATCAGCTAATATCAGTAAAATAAATACAAAATAAAAGTAAAATAATTAATATCTTAGCTTTATAATAATAATTGAAGTAGACCCTAATATTACATTATATTGTAAGACTATATTATTATATTTTGAAACGTATTAAGGTGCGACATCTAGGGAACGCGCCAACAGTTGATCTGGCACTGTTTTGAATACCGACAGATGGCGTTGTAGTTACCATTTTCATTGTATTTGCTATTAAACGTTTAGCAGCTATTACTTACTAAAAAATAATCAAATATAACGGTGTTATTTTTTTTTTTTAAGGGACTTCTACACTAGCATTTATTTAGGAGCGTTTTATTTAGGCAAATTTTCACTAAAACTTAACATTAAGCTACAATTGTTGGAAAGAAGGATATATTGTGGTGTTTAATTTTTATGAAATTACAGTATGTAAGTACAGAAATTAATTCCTTATGCAAATTAGACTAGCATAATATAAAATATCTATATTTCAATAAAACCGAATGATATATTGTTATATTCGAAAGTACTAGAGCTTCCAAGTACGACAATAAATCAAATTGTCGAATCTCCCAAAAAAAGATTTATTACTATTTTTTTAGTGGGGGGGGGGGGGGGGGTTTACACAGAGGCGTTTACCATCTACTTTAGGTTATTCTGTCAATCAATTGTTTTATTGTTCAATAAAAAAACCATTCGACGATATACGACCATGGCCGTATCATATCAAAAAAATACTCCCCAAATTCTTTTTGAGGGTGTCTTTTAAGTATTGGTGTGCGCTCCATTAATCACAACATAAGTCATACCCGGGTAGAAGAGTTATTATTATATCAACGTCATAATAATTAATTTTCAAAGTATAAGTGATATGGGTATTTATTAACCGTCAAAACAATTGTGTAGATTTTTTGTTTTACTCATTGTTTAGGATTTTTTTATCGACACCCAGTTTATTATTTTTTGGCCAGATACCAAAAAATCATGTAACATATCAATTCAACAAGATTTTTTCTCCTGATTTCAAATCTGAATGTATTTTTTTCGTAAGACCATTTTTTAATGAGATACGAGTTTTATATTTTAAATAATTTTAAAATTAAAAAAAAAAAAAGAGTACCGTTTATCGTACCCATAGAGCATCCCATATGTCTCATTTGAAGCTCGGTAGAACTTTCCGTGACACTCTGTATATAATATATTAGCGAACGTGCAACATTGTACATAACGACAAAGTCAAAATAAAAATATGACAACATAATCAAATGTGAAATATTATTAATGTTCGCTCAAATATCAATCGATATTATATTTCTGTGTACAAAAAAAATATATATAACTTTGTCAGAGTAAAACGTTTTCCAATTTTATAAGAAAAACAACTGGCATGTGTGTCTGAACCATGCAGTTGTGTTACTTAACATTTTCCCAAAGTCTTACTGAACTATTGAGCGTGTCAAACGAGATAAACTGCAAAAAAAAGTGTTTTTCCTGTCGGGCCAAAAAGAAAAAA